TGTAAAATCGAGCGAGAGTAATTTATTTTTAGAGTCCATGAACTCAAAATTTGAAGTTCATATGGAGTTTTAGTGTTAAGAGGTCGGTATATAATAATGACATTGAATAAACGAAAAAAGAATTATACAAGTAAAGGACAGAAAGGAGAAAATATATATATACATGATCATTTTCAAAAGGTGTCGTCTACTACAAGCTTTACAAGTAATACGGTCCGAGTAAAGTATATAAATAGTAGAGAAGAAAGTGACCAAACTATTTTTTTTCTTTTCTCTTCATACGTGTCAAAAAAGCTCTTCTCTATATTGACCTTTTGTTCGTGTCACCGTCACATTTCTGTGTATAGTCTCCGTTGTCTTGACCGCGTAGTAAGTACAATAGTCTCTTCTTCTATCAGGCGTACGATGATTATTAACGCATTAGTTATAAGAGATGATGATTATTATTAACATTGAACAAATTGATTTTAAATATACACCATGGGAGTATAGAGAGTAAGTCTGTCTGTCGTTTGCACAAAAGAATTAAAAAAATATGCTTATTTTCTTCTTTTTTTTTCTGATACAGTTTTTTTTTTTTTTTTGCATCTCTATGTGGCACATCATGTCTATGTATACATATTCTAGACATCATACAGTTTTCTTCAATTTTGTTTCGTTCGTTCCTTTTTCTTCTCATAATCATTCCTGTCAGTACTCAATGTTTATTCAGCCTACTGATTGTATTAACACGTGTTCACATTCACAGCAGGCATATAGATTAGCTGCGTTATGTTTTAATTATATGAACACTTAACAAATATTAGCAGACGAGCAAACAAATAACACGTAAGTTGAGTTTTAGCTATTTTGATCAGTACAAAAGAATAAAATGATCATGTTATCTACCAATAGAGAGTGAGTTGGTACTAAGAAGTAGTACGAATATGATGAAAGGGCACGTACTCTACTAAACATTGAGTTGAAACTCTAAAATTTCGTTGAGCTTAGTTGCTTATCAAAAACTGTAAAAACGTTAGTTTGTGATGACTATGTACTTGAAAATGCTATTTTTGTATTGAAATGTCCGGGAAGCTTTAAGTTGTTGTTTCAAATTATTAGATTAATATATCCTCTTATGTTTAAATTAATTGAATATATTTTGTTTTGTTTGCCTGCGGGTGGTACAAATTGACGTAGAAAGGACAACAATGGAATTTTCTGTCTAATCGAATATATTTTCGCATTAATTTTATGATCTTTCTTTTTTTCTCATCATAAACTAGACAAATTGTAAAAATAGCTCTTAACCATCGTCATAAAGGACATTAGAATATGAGACCTTGAACAGCAATATCTTCTCAAAATGAGCTGAAGTAAGATATTTTTTGCATTCTGCCGCTACTCAGATACTTTTTCATTCACATAATTCTCAAATATATACAGAGTCTAATATTAAAGATCTAAAACATGTAGATTAGAATACAATTTTCATGTTTTAAACATAATTTAGCTTTCTTTTCCTAGACAAAATCATCGTAGCTTTAAGAGGCACGAAAAGGTGTGTTGATTATTCGTCCGTTTACCGTCTAATTGATTTTTCTAAAAAAATGCCTATTTTTAAAAAAAAAATTTGTTTTTTTCAATACGTACATATTCCCAAATGTCGTTCTCTCATCTCATTCTTCCGGTTATTTTTTTCTTATATTTCTCTCTTACTCTTTCTCTATCCATTATTTTTTCTATTCATCATCATATTGCTGATAATAATAAGAAGATATGAAGGACAGTTTAAATGTCTATGTGATGTATCGTTTTTTTTTTTTTTATTTGTTCTTGGATTGTTTCAAACGCCTATAAAAATCACAGTGATTTAAATATGTCAGAATGAAAAGAAATACATAATTTTAAGTAGAAATAATCATGGAAATGATAATGAACAATAATGAGTTTAAATGAATAAATAGTTAAACAGGTGATGTATACTTTAAAAATAGAACGTTATTGATCTATCCAGTTTAGTTTATTTAGTCATTGTTAATTAATTCCCAAAAGTAAAATCATCATGTGTATGCGTTGCATGTGTATCATCTATTATCGTAAATGATTAAATTATCCATTCATTGACGTAATTTTAATCATATTGTAAAAGAAAAATTATAATAGTAAGTACTATTCTCTTTTTATTGCTGAATAGAGAAAAAGGAAAAAAAGATATTAAACAGTATAGTAGGACAAAGAAATGAGACATATTTCAAATTTTGACAGATTCATTGTCTCTAACATTTTTATCGAAGAAAAAGAATTGTCTTATCATTTTGGTCCGATCATAAAGTTTCATTTAGATATAACTTGTGTCAAGTTAAAGACAGAGATGCTTCGAAGTACAAGAAGCAGAGAAGGAGTTCTCAGATATCGAAAAATTTTAAAAATGAGAGTAAATATCTGATTTGTCTAAAAATACGCAAGTTTTGACATACAAAATACTCTGAGACATAACTCCTTTATATTTAAGAGTAAAACGTATTAGTTTTTCGTCAGAACTTGAGCAATTGATTGAAAATCTGAACCTCAAGCTTTGACTTTGGAAGTCAACTCAGAGGACAAAGGCGTTTTGATACGGAAAGTCAAGCGTTTATATCGCGGGATTTGAGAGCGAAGTTAGTGAAAGAGAGCAAGAAGAATACAAAGCTTTCAAAATGCGAGTCGTAGCAGATTTTCTTGTAAACAAAAAAAAAAAGAGAAAATATGTTGGTGTTTACTCTTAAACCGAGAGTATTTATAACATAATGAGTAATCAACGATTGCTCCTTATACAGCATCAAATCAGATCTCAGTGTTTTTCCTCTTCATTTCCACATGCTGTTGTCTTTATTAGCATACGCCAGATAGTGCTGATTGTTGATCTCAATTCCAGAGCAAAAACTTATCGAATTTGGGAGTAAAAGATTTCAAAAAGCAGAGAGGCGGATTTCCTCTCTACTCCTGTTGTCACGGCGTTTCTAGTTAGAGAGATTGATTTTCATATCGGAGTGAGGTAATCAGTAATTACTTTCTTACCGGCATTCAAAATACTGATCTATAGCTAATAAAACGTAGTATTTTATTCTAATATGAGATGCTGTTTCTATCAAATATTTAGTCATTTTGAAATGTAAAAAAAATGGTAAAAGAAATATTGCTTTATATTGAATTGTTGATTCAATTCTTGTTTAATAAATCACGTTCAACCGAATTTCATGGTTCATCAAAGATGAAACTAAACAAGCATTTCTTATTGTCGTCTCATCAATAGATGTTAATAAATATTGTTTTACTGTGAGATCAAAGTAAAAAAAAATTATTTTCCTAACGAAATAGCAAATGTGTGTATGTGTGTACGTCGGGATAATAAACAAAAACAGAAATATATTAATTAAATTGATCAATCGGTATATGATAAAAAGGTGTGAAACATGTGTGCTGTTACTCAATATTAATAGGGAAACGAATCAATGAACATTACTTTTGTGATAGATATTTAGAGCATACCATAGGTTTCCTGATAGTTAGTACTCAGTAAATGAATAATAATGAATCATTCACATACCCAAAACGAAGCTAAAATAAATCAATCCTTTCATTGTATGCGCATGAACAGAGAGGATAGGTTATTTATACAATTGATATTGATCATTTCTTTAAAAAAATAAAAACTGATAATATACTCTTTATCAAATGACATATACAAGGCAATATTCGTTCATATTTCTTCTTTCTTTCGTCTTTTTTTTTGTTGTTTATTTTATTATGTGTTGGTTAATACACAAGATGTCAATAGGGAGCGAATAAGCGATTCTATCTGTTGTATATTGTAACATTTTAATGAAATGATTTAGAAGATAGAATATCCTTCTATAGTGTATGTGTTAATAGCATTTCATTAACTCAACTATTTCTTCTTTCTATTGTTCCCGCACATCTCGACCAAGGTCAAACTAATTTTTATATTTATTTATTAGATATAATTGTTACCAATAGAACTGACTATGTTATAAATAAAAAACCTTGACAAGAAGTATATAGATATCATTGATAATAATTAATTTACACTTGAACTTTGATTTATATTTCTTTTAATTTATCAATAGTATTAATATCACTGCTATTATTAACGGTATCATTCAATGACCCAACTTTTTAACTAACGTTTGAAAAGTCAACAAAACTTCTAGTAAAAGTGAAACACCGTACGTAGATCTTGTGGTAAGAATGTGTTGATAATAAAAAGCTCTGTGAGATATTTACAGAAAAACGATTATCGTTACAGAGAACCCAAACGACGGACTACAGTTTGCGTTGTCTCTCTTTTCGTTAGTTCTTAGTTCATTGCACAATAATGTTTATTTTGTGAGAATTTGATTAAGACTTTACATAAGAGAAGAACATTTTGAAACAATAGTTTATTTACAAATTTTTTATGGAGTCAATGTTATAGAAGTGACTAGAATTTAAGCAGGTTTCAAATTCATCTGAGCCTTACTGAAATTTCAATGTATATTTTACTTAGATGAAAGGAAAATCTCTGATAAAATTTAGACTGTCAAAGTAAGAGTTTAAGAATAAGTGTTTTAGCATTATTATTCTGTTCATTGAAAACATACTTAGAAGGGAGGATCTTGGAAGATAATCTTGTAAGATCTTCTGTGATCTTACATGATTTTATAAGAATCGTGATTCAAGAATCTTATGGGATAGCACAAGATTTGTCTTGCAACAAAATTTCATAAGGTCTTAAGAAATCTTTTGTGGTTCGATAAGTCGTCGCTTCCTACTGTATGATCCTACTGTATGATTTTATTCCAAGGTTTTATAAGAAACATCAGATCTTATTAGACATATTTCACATGAGTACGAGATACTTCGTTGTTTTATTACAGGAACATTATGACATGACTCTTCCGTAGATCAACTCGTCATAAACTCGTATTTGTATAAAAAACAGATCTAATTTACCGTTTTTTACAAGGTCAAGATTAGAGATGCGCAACCCGACCCGTACCCGATCCGACCCGGCTGGTAAGCGTACGAAGTTGTCGGGTACGGGTCAGGTACGGATAGAGCAGTTACGGGTACGGGTTCTATCTTTTTTTAATTTACCCGAAAACCGGACGGTTCTAGTGGAAAATCCACTAAATTTTAGTGAAAAAGTACAGGAATTTAGCTAATATACATGAAGGTTTAAAAGAGAATTACTTGAGAACGTAATGATAATTTGACATCTGCAGCCGAAAAACAAAAGTTTTTAGCTGGAAAACAAAAAGGAGAAAATTTTTAGGTATAAGTCGATTTTAGGTATAACGGGTCGGGTACGGGTACGAAAATGGTACCCGTGCACATCTTTAGTCAAAATATCTGGAGGGAGGATCGTACATTCGACATGTATATTTTGAATAGTCCTGTTTATGTAACGGAAGAAAGCTTTCATAACACGTCGCCTATGGAGATAGGAAGATCCCATAACACGTAAAAGTGAGCCACCTGTCAATAGTTCTTCAGAGAGACGATAGTTGTTTTTGCTGAGTTGATAAGAGAGATAGTGTTCAGTTCGTAAATAAGCTGAGATCCTGTTCGCAGACACATCGTTCTCGAAAGAGTCGCACCTTGGAATATCGTTCCGAAATAAATGTAGTATGAGGTTTTGGAAGATAAGGGAGCTGAGACTGTTTATTTGACTGGAAGAATAGATTAGAAAATCCTTTTGTCAAAATAAGAGTGTTTCTATACAATGAAGAATTAAGGAAAAATAAATACAAAACTTTTAGTTTGCATACTCATAACATCTTCACGTAAATTTCTAAATAAAACTGGTCTATGCTAATAGTAGTTTTCTCCTTCGACTGACTTTTTTCTATCGATGATTCACTCAGATTTTACACTACTGTAAAATAATTCTGTAATAGTAACTTTTATCGGTCACTGATTTTCTTTGCATTATTCTCTCAGAAGGAAATGCAGAAAAACATATTTCTCTTATTTATGAGTTTACGAAGTTTTCTCCTCTACTCTCCTTTTCCAGAACTGATTCAATTTCTAATGTATTGTTTAATCCCTTTGTGACGCAACTGTTGTAGCACGAAGAAGGAAAATATTACAGATCATCAATCCTGGGAAGTAATATACTTCCGTTAGAATTTCCTTGTTACTCTTATAGTTGATTTTAAGAATATGTTACAAGTAAGTAATTTTAGCTCACTCACCACTTCTCATGTTTATCAAACCGTCAAAAAAAGGTGATAACTAACCGTGGTGATTAATAGGCATAGAAGAACCTTTTTTCGCTCATGTACATGGTACATCATGTATATTTGATGTCTCCTCTTTCTTTTGCTTCTCTTTTTCTTCCTCGTCCTTTTACGTCACTTGTGTGGTAATGTTTGCGCACGCATATCTGTGTGAGGAGAGATATCTCTTTTTTTGCTAGACACAGTGCGCAATAACGTGAATATTTGGGGAAAAACGAAAGTGAGATTCTTAGAGATTCAATGAGTGCTACATATACAACGATCAGTGGCCTATTTAATGGTGAAAAAATTTTGGCTCTAGTGCCTAAGGTTATCGAGAAAAGTAAGCTGCAATTTTTAGCTCGGTTTGTGTGGCCTTTAAAAAATATTGCTCTTTCTGTCAACAGAACGAACTTCGGAAAAAATGAAACACACATACTCTGAAAGCTGAGTTTCCAAGCTATCGATTAATAAAAAAGGTTTTTAATTTTAGTTAGTTTGGGGTGGAAGAAAAAAGAGTTTTCCGGAGACTAAGCGTTTTTCGCAAAAGTAATTTTAGTAGAGGTGGGCCCTAAGTTCCCCTGTTGTCCACCGAGCTAGAACTTTCAGGAAATATTCTTCTTTATATGATACGTCTGTGCACTTAGTCCAAAATAGCCCAAACGCTTCCCTGCAGAGGGAGAGGTTTTCCAAAAACCCTTGGTTTTCGAGATAAAATCAAGTCCTCGCAGTTCAGAAACATCAGAACCAAGAACCAATTGCATATTCAAAATCAGCTTAAAAAGCTGTGTCGAATGGCGTAGAATTCATTGGATTTTGGGCATATACTTTTGAATCTTATCGAATTCTTAGATTTTGGAATCGGCACGTAGAATTTTTTGCCCGAAAATTTAAAAGTCAAGATTAAAAATTATGAACGCTTCTAAAATATTTTTCTATGGGTTTTCAGCGATGCTCTTCCCAATGGAATGATTTTTGAATTCTGATAAAGTTTTTGAAGTAGTTGCGGGAGATTCGATTTCTGGAAAATCCCTTGGGAAACTTTTTCAAACTCGAAAACCATTCGGTTGGAAAGAGCGTCGTAGAAAACCTATAGAAAAATGGTTTAGATACGTTTGGACTGTTTTCAAAACTCATGTCCACGTGCTTAGTCAAAATTGTCCACTGTGCTAGATGCCTAATGTTTTTTTGTCGTTATATCAACTTCAGTCAACTTTATATTTCATCCAACATGAGACTGTTTGAAATAAACTCTCAATCTCTAGGACTTCTGTTTCATAATAAGATCTAACGTTTAATCTACAAGATAATAAAAAAGATCTTGTGAAACTTGTTGTAATGACACTATAATGACTTTACTATAAAACTTTCTAGAACTGGTTGAGATAAGTAGTTATTTATCCGGAACTTCTTCGGTGTACGGAAATGAGCTTGGTTTACATTGATCAATAATCTTCTCTAACTCTTTCAGCCAAAATAACTAAGAAAAAAGTGACAAGAGTCAGATAAACTAAATCTACTCCAGTCGCTCTTGTTCCTAGTATATCTGTTTCGGAGATGCAGTTGTAATGTTAACTGATTAACTCCTGTATTAATAAAAACTTCAAATAATAGAGAACTAGACAACGATCACACTACGCGAGAGTTGCGAATGCGGTGCGAAGCTCTCGGATAAAGAAAGTGGAAACCAGGAAAGCGAAAAGCTATACATACGCATGAATCACAAAAAACACTTTTACTCTAGCTCTAGCTATCTGGTAAGACTCTTGAAGTACGATTCTTATAAAAACATATTCATTCAATTGTGATTTTGAGAAAAAACGTCTTGCCGGTAAAAGACGATTTCCTTGAAATCAGTCGAATGTTAAGATTAATTGTTCGTTCTGACAAGTTAGCGGTCCACCTACGCTGTTTTCTGTTTATTTAACAATCACACAGTTACATGTGTAAAGTGAAATTACATATTACTAATTCTTTTTGTGTGTTCTGTCTTGATTAAAAAGAACTATTATGAGTGATATATTATTAATTTTTTCGGCAATCCGCCTGTGTAGAAGTGTGCACTTGTCATTTTACACAGTTTTCTTAATATCCGTTTCTATTAAACACCAGCAGCATTTCACCTCCTCTATTTCAGAGCTAGAACCGGTACCGGACAGGACCGTTTGAAACTTTTGAAACATCTGCTTTTTCTACCCTTTTATTCTCAAAAACCTAAAATTTCACGTCTTTTTCAGTCAGAATAAATAAGACGATGTTCAAGACAGATATTATTTTCATCACTTGTTTTAAAGTTAAATGTTACAGACTCGTTATTGTGAAGGTTCTCTCTCGTGTGCTCGCAAACTATGTCATTTCTGGGGGAAATTCTTTCTGAAAATCGATTTTCAAAGTATTTCGCCGGTATTTTACCGGTTTGAGTTATAATTCCAACTGGCCAGTTTACCGTTTTTCAACCGGTTTCAGCCCTCCTCTGTTTTGTAACTTTGTTGTAACTAGGCATGTTACGAAGTCGAATGTTGTCGTAACATGTCAAACGGAACACTTCAATCGTAACATGCCTACTAACACTAATTTATTCCGCAGCATGGAATTAAGTGCATAAAGTGAAATATTATAATCCCTCAAGACTTGCACTATCAAAAAAAATTCGAATATGTTCTTCAAACCGCGTCTAGTAAATCTGCGTGCTAACTCTGTGTTAACAATAATTCAAACTCGAACTGGAACTCGAACTTTTCGAGTTCGAAAATCCAATAGTTCGGCATCGAATTTCCCTAACTCGAACTGTTCGAAGCCGAACCTGCGCTCGAGTTCGACACATCCCTAGTGATCATCAAGGGAGCAAAAACCTACTTTGATCTAAACTTTATAGTCATCGACTCTTCCTCCAAAACACTTTTGAACATTTATTTTTGTTGTGTTCTGATATTCTATTTTAGTATTGATCTACTGTATCATGTCATCGACACCGTCGTCTTCCAAAGCTCATTCTTCTCATTCGAAAAGTACGACAGCGAAAACGAAATATTTAAGCAAAAGTTCCGATTCATTGTCAAATCAACCAACTACAGAAACAGTTGACGGTAATGTTTCAGTAACAACATCCACAAATAAAACATCCCATTCAAAATCGATGAAAAAATCTCAAACAGCATTAACAGGATTTGATCAACAAAAAGCGAGCTCTTCCACACAACATTCTTCCTCATCGAATTCTCAAAATAATGGCGGTCTAAGACGTCGTTTCAGTTTATTTCGTACAAAACGTTACCAACAACAACCGGCAAAACCTCCTTCGGATCAAGATTTATCATTAACAGTAGCAGTAGCGGCATCCAGTGATCTAAATTTACACGATAAAATTCATTTATTACAAGACGAAGTCGAACAACGCAATATTATTATCGAAAATTTACGGCAAGAATTAAATGTAAAAACACAAGAATTAGACTCGACAAAACAACGTTTATTTGAAATAAATAAATCATATGATATCGAACAAGCTCTACAAATACAAACAAAAATGAATACACATCTAGAAGAAATGCTGAAAGAAAATGAAACGCTAAAAAAGAGTATATATGATTTAGAATGTTTTGCTCAACAGCAGCAACAGTCAAATACAAGCAATGACGGTGAGTAATAATATATTCAGAAATTTCAAGTAATATTTGTTATATAAGAATATTTACTGTAATGTTTATTCACTACCTACGTTCTATTCAAACGCGTTATTCATTGTTGTTTGTTAAAAGCAACTGGCAATGACTAGAAATATTTTCTACAAAGTTGCTTTACAAATTAAACAGCTTTGATTGCTGTACAATTAATCTAAGTTTATCTAATGTTGAAATGGGGTAAGGCCAACAAATTTCTTCTTACTAAAACAAATTTTATAAGAAATGAGAGTCATTCGTTATTCAGTTAGGCTTTTGATGCTACATAAAGCAATTTAGTTTGTAGATACGCCGCTGTGTAATGTGTGTGTGTGTGCGATTTTTATCTTAACTTTTTATGCTTTAAAAGTGGAAGAAACAAAAAAAAAAATGTTCAATAATACATTACAATTTGAGATTATATTTTACTTCTGATAAATATATATTTACTTTGTTTGACATTTAAAAAATGAAAAGAAATTTTTTAAACCATTTACCTTTCATCGAGTTCTATTTTGAATTCTATGAATATACATATACACACACACTCACACCACAAAGACCACATTCGAAAGCTAAACGTTTTGTTTGACTTCTGATATATGAAGCTAAACATTTTTGGATACACTGTTTCAACTTGGTGATCTCATTCTCTATCAAAAAATGAGATGACTTAGGAATAGATATGGTCGAGATCGAGACAAAAAGTTTGATGAGAATCAATACAGTTTTTTGAACAAAAATATGCATTTAATCTAATAACTTCTTTTCATTATTTTTCTTGAATTTTTCAAAAACACTTTTACTACCATATTTAGTATCTGTAGTATTTATTGTCGTTCAATTTCGAATTAGAAAACCAAGACAATCGGATCTTAGTTGATTATCAATTGTGCAAAAAACATTCGAGGAATATTAAAATATTTTTAAACAAACCAGTTTTATGTCTTTTTTCTCTTTCAACTCTACTGAAGTAGATGACAGATTCTAAAAGACGCCATATTGGTAAAGAAAGAGTTCGAGAGTAAATTATAGCTGAAGGATGAAAGGACAGCTAACGTTTTAGAATACATAAAAAAAAAGTGAACAAAACAAAAAAAAAAACGGGATGAACTATACTTTTCGAGCATATAAATGGGAAATATTAGACAAATAAAAGAAACGAAAGATCCTAAAGATATTCATCGTACAGATTGCCTTCTATTAAGTACAGCTTCAGGTACGAAAAATAATCCACCTATTTTTGGTAATCCATTTTCAAAAAAGTGTTTTTTTTATCAATTTCTTTATGACAAAATTTTTTACTAGAACACAAACGGAAACGTGACTAGAAAAATCTCACAGAATTGATCACAATGATTTTGATCTTGTTTACTTATGAAAACAGTATTCAATTAAATCACTGGTTTAAATGATTTGGTTCTTCTTGGCCTGATCGTATCTATTTTCATTTTTATCCGAATAATCTAATATAGACAGCATCTTCAATAGTCTATAGACTAAGCGTATATTTTTTATTTTCATTTTTCTCTTTTCTCGAATATAAAATGACAAATGTGAAAAAGATAGGATTAGCCAGGCTATTATGATTATTATTTCGAGGATATTCTCTTTTTATATGCTTACTTATATAGCAGTGACTAATATTTACTTTTTTAATAATTTTAATAGTTTTTTCATTTGTCTTCTTTTTCTGACTTGTACGTGTCCTATTAAGTGGGTTTGATTTCTTCTTCAGCTGCTGTGTTTATATATATGTACAAAGATTAGTGTTACATACAAGTGAATTCATCTCTATATCTACCCGTCTATGTATATATTTTCTTTTCACGTTCTCTCCCTCTCTTTCTCTCTTTTTTCTTTCTTCTCTCTTGTTCTTTCTTTCTTCTCTCATTCTCTCTTATTCATGTTTTTGTTATATGCAATATTTTTTTTTTGCCAGGTTTCGATACTAACAGAGTGGTTATCATTCGCTCACTTAAACCACACAATCGCGTACCATAGCGGAAATTCTAAATTCATACATTTTATTTCGTTAACATTTTTTTACGTTTCTCTTCTCCTGTTTTTTTTTAAAATTTTAAACACAAGATTTTAACGATTATTTGAACAAAATGCGCCTGTTTCGACGTCTTCGAAAGAATAAAAGTAAGAATACCGATCTTTTTTTATTATTTTTCGTATGTTAATGTTTTTAGACCAGATGTATCCAACAGAACATTTTTAGTCTATATGACACGTTTTATGTACACTTGCACAGTAGCAGGCATCGAATTAGATCTGTGACAGTACAACGATTTCCATTCTTTGACACACAAACTATTTTTCAGTTATTAGTTTACGCTCTATAGTTAGTTATTGGTAGTATATATAGTTAGTTATAGTTCTTTTTGAACGGAGGAACTACTCAACATATTGAAACTTCATTTCTGACAATTATTCGCCTTCTACGCGTCTTCTGAATAAAATACATAATAGACTAGCAGATTACGAAGAACGAACACATCAAACAGGTCCCGTTCAGATAAACGAGAGGTGAGAATTACTTCTCATTATCGAGGAATTGTAGTTCAAGAAGATATGAAGTGTTACAGGACTATCTCGCATAGTAGATTGGATAATTAAATAATAATAATCAAATAAAACGCTTTATCAGTAGTATCTCACATCAAAACGATTTTAATGTCGACAAATAATTTCTGCTCTTTTCAGCAAGGATTAACTAGAAGAAAAGTATTAGGGAAGGTTAAGCTTTTATTTCTCGCAGTATTAACATGATCCTCTTTTTTGTGATACAAACATTTTCGTGAAACGTTCTAGTCATAATTATAGTCTTATTAGAATGTTAAAATCCTTGATAGTGATTTGATAAATTGTTCTTCTATGGGCAAGGTTGAATCAATGATCATGAATATATAAATTTAGTAATTTTCTTCTGTTTTAAATAATTGACAAAAACAGTAGAAAAAAAAATAGGTTTTTGTTTGACAAAGAATCGTAACATTTACTTAGCACCATGTACTAGAATTTTAATCTACCATATTTAGAATTAAAATGTACCATTGAAGAATATTCTTGACTCGCTTTTTTTTATATATGTCAATAAAACATAGAAAAAAATGCTTGAAACGATATGATTTGTATTTGTTTCATTAAAAAGGGTTTTTTAAAACAAATAGTTTTGCAATCTTTTTGAAATGTTAATAAGATTTTTTGTAGACATTTAACACAATCCGATGAACATAATCAAAGTGTGTATGTGTGTGCGTAGTAGTAGTTTCTCTTTTTCATTTGTGTGTAACAAAAATAATTTTGTGTGTCTAACCACCACTATATATTGAACATTTTTTGTTTTTTTGTCACGTTTGAAACATATTTCACAGCAGAATGAGACAATCAACGTTGAGTTGATAAACGTCGATTAAATGAGTGAGAAATGGAATTGATGATAACGTTTTTTATCGCATATTTATCACATACTTAATTTTCAGCATGTGTGTATATGTGCACTTTTAATGATTGTTAAAAGTTCCAATTATCAAAGAAAAAAGAGAAATATATCTCATTGAACTATGAGTCTAATATGTCAGTGAGAAAACAAAGATGGATTCTTCGAAGTGCTATGACGATCTCTGATCTTTCATCTATAGCTGCATGCAGAAACTAACAGTTGAAAAATGAACGAACTTTCTTATTTAAAGAGTATATTAGATTCACAGATGTCTCATTGTGTATTTCCATAATCGTCTCATTCATTACGTTTGATATTTTTTCTATGTTGTTCTGTTCAATTTATCTTAACAAGATTCTTCACACGTAGTATAGGAAAAGTCATGCTCAAATTTCTTTGATGTCATTTTAACGTGTCGTCATTTGACACCATCAACAATCACTATTTTTAGTTTTTAATTGATGAAAAATGAATATGATAATTTTAACTTAAGTCAAATTTTTCATGAGTACGAGTTATCTCTATTAAGAAGTTTCTTAGAGAATACTTCTGGAACTCTTATCTATTCATATTTATTACAAGTCTTTAAACACCTTAATTTGTCAAAGTAATTCCATTAGAATAAAAATACGTTATACTTTTATCCGCTGAGAAAAAGATTACTTTTACTGTTGTCAATACTTAGAGCTACGACTATACAGTTGATATATATACTAATCAAAACTATTCATACCACTACTCGAACCATCTATAGCTTAGGAGAAAAAAGTATCTTAAATTTTTATCCTCTACTTTATCTATCTACATATTGATTTACTGTATAATGTTGTTTTTGAGTAGCAAAAAGAGAAAGATCGTTCTCTTAATTGCACTTACATCTTTAATCTCATTCTTCTTTTGTGATTGTTTGATGATTTTGTTTATCTTTGTTTGTTTTCTTTTCTTTCCTCTATTAATTAATGGCTTAAGCTTTAATTCTATATAGTCAGATTAATTTAGCAAAACATAAGTGGATTGAACTTGATAGGAACTATTGATATTACAAACCATAGTAGGGGAAATTTTACTCGGTAGTAAAGTGCATTTGTCATTTGAGCGCCCTAAATTATCCGTACAGCATATAGTTTTGAAGTAAATGAATTATAACTTTTTACGGAAACAATATTTTGACATAGGTCTTTTGCCAAGCTAATCATCGGCATGTCTAGAATCCATGTAAACAACAAAATCAGTTTCAAATTCCAAGTAGTTTTAGTTTTGTTCCACAAAACTAAAAATCTGGATTTTTTTACTTATTCAGAATTCTCCGTACAGTAGAGAATATTTGCTTTTTCTCGCTCAATAAAAATTTTGAAAGGATGCTGGTGATAGTGTTCGACAACTGGCTTCCTTAGCTACATTCTAGAAACAAAGATTTGTTCAAATCATGTAGTCCTGGCCACGAAAAGTCGTCTCTAACCACCGAGTGTCCAGTTTCTCGAAAAATGAAAATATCTCGGATATGGAAAGGTCTAAGAACTATTTCAACATACCACT